TGAGACTATCTCCTCATTCTCTAAGGATTTTGCAGAATAAAAGTAATGAGAATTAGGAAAATGTTTCTTAAAGCATGTTAAATTTCTCATTGCAATTCAACCCAGTCTATTTGTCAAACTCTCTGGAGTATTAATGTTCAATAACTCATCTCTCCGTTATTTTACCATTAAGATTCGATCTTTACTTTTTATTACAAGCACCTTCACAGAAGGAAGACGCCATGATTTGACTTTGGTACTGCGCGTTCTCTGGGAATGGTGAGTCGTGGGCAAGACCAGGCTTGGAGGAGCATAGTCTGAAACAATGTGCATTTCAACTATCCAGTGGTTCTCTCTATTTGACACTGATCTTTGGCTTATGGTTTCATTTCATGAAGAGTATTTCTCTGTAATGAACAAATCTTAAAGGTAGATTTGACTGAAAAAAAAAGAAGTATTATGCGTTCCATGTTTGTGAGAGTGAATCATGGTGCTTCCTTGATTTCAAACATGTTGAGTCATCCTTATTAACACCAACACCATCTGTTTCCAATTTATTAACAATGACTAAATAGTGTTCACAACTATCAACTTTTATCATATATACTTACTGTAAATATAATCTCTAATCTAGGATTACTTTGACCTATTTCTACTTCTATGTATTTTTCTTAGTCCCTGATAAGGTAAAAAAACATTTAATCTGAGAGTTCAGTAGTTAGAGATATGACCACAAGGTGGCAGTCTACCCCAGCTGGTGCAGAATCAATGGGGGTTTATTTCAGTGGATTCTGAATGAATAGGCTTAGGGGAGAAGCAGGGCCTTTTTCTTATTGGTTGGGTTGACAATAAGAGAAGCCACTATAATTATTAGAGAAAAAAGGAGCAACCTGATATCAAAAGTAGCTCCTGGGTAGATTGCAAGTCTGGATTGATCTTAATTGGGAAGAACAATGAAGACATCTCCCTTTGCTTTATTCATGTTCTTGTGGCTGCAGCTGGACTGTGAGTTGAGGATTTGGGGGAAGCAGAGTATATTAGCAGAAGTTATTTAGACATCTGGGAAGACTGGCTTTATGCTGGTTCTTCATAGTCACTGAAGGAAAAAAAAATCTGGTGTAATGACATACTAACACTATCTTTTTTCTTTTACTTTCTGCATAGGGGTGAGCCAAGGAGAGAAGGTGGAGCAGCGTCCTTCTACCCTGAGTGTCCAGGAGGGAGGCAGCGCCGTTATCAACTGTACTTATTCAGACAGTACTTTGAACTACTTCCCTTGGTATAAGCAAGAAACTGGAAAAGGTCCCCAGCGTATTATAGACATTCGTTCAAATAAGGAGATAAATCAAGTCCAAAGATTCATTGTTGTGTTGGATAAGAAAGCCAAACACTTCTCCCTGAACATCACAGCCACCCAACCTGGAGACTCAGCTATCTACTTCTGCGCAGCCAGTGCACAATGCTTCCCAGACACCTGCAGCCTGTATTCAAACCTGCAACTGAGCTGAGCTACTTCCTTTGCATAGACTTCCCAGTATAACATTTGCTATATTTATTTTTTGAAAGTGGCAACAATCAAATAGACATTAAAATCAAATAATAAGAAATTAGGTTCATGATGATCCAGAAAGAGTTAGAATATTTTTTTGGCTGATTTTTGCTTCAGTTATTTTTTAATATTCATTTTTGTGTATATTTAAGGTGTACAATGTGGTGTTTTGATATGCATACACATAGTGAAAATTGGCAGATGATTTAGGAGATGTGTAGGGAAGGCATGGGGGAAGGAACCTCCAATTCCAGGTATCCACACATCATCGGCAATCCTATAGTTGTGCTTAATGGATTCTTAAAGGGAATCAGAACTGTTTTGCCTTGAAATCCAGGCTTTAAAGATAGTCTATATTTGCTATTCAGACTCCTCTCTTATAAATAACCCCTTGTGACCAACATAATCCTTATTGTTTGTGGGCTTTAGACTGATTATAAAACATTACATGACAAATACAAAATAAGTAAAATACAAAAAATGTGAAATTTATAATTCTGCATCCAGACAATTTGTTTCTAACATTTGGTCAAGAGATACATAGAAGTAAATATGTAGGATAAAAAAGTCCAAATATCTAATATACAATATAAGAATTTTAATTAATTACACCATATTATGTATTTCTGCCAAATGAGTAGGTTTTAGTCATTCTTTTTAAACATACAAAGAACTTATTGTACTATAAAATAAAACAAAATGTATTTTAAATAAATGTATTTCCATTTATATATTTCTTTCTTTCTTGATAAAGTTCTAATTTGTAATAAAAGCTGAATTTATTTCTTCATGTTTAGTTTTCATTGCTCCCTATCTTTATTTCTCATGCATGTGAAAATTTTATATATTTACTATACTTATTTTATATATTAATATATCTATTTATATATTTACTAATAATGGCTTTGTAGAGTGGAATTATAGCACTAGTGTGACTATTGCCTGAAGTAAAGCCTATACCTAATCAAGTTATTTTTTAGTAATGAGACCAAAACGGAATCAATAAGAAATGAATAACATTCTACCATTAAGGTGAGAAAATACTACTTAAAAAATAAAAAAATGAAGGATTGCACAGGAGATATCAGATTGGGTGATATCTAGTCAGCTACAGAATTCTGTTCTGACAGTGTCAGAGGCACTATATAAGCTGTACCAGGGCATGTGTGTTTTAAGGATCCTGGATCAATGTTCATCATCTGAGGACTGCCTGCAGAAGCATATGTGGATATGGAGAAGCACTACTACAGTAATGCCGATGACGTGCAGACACCTGGAATTGTAGTCTCCTTCCCACATCTTCTCAATCATCTGCCAGTTTTCACTATGTATATACATATCAAAACACCACATTGTACACCTTAAATATACACAAAAAGGGTGGTCTCTGCAGAATCTAGTTAAGATCGTTAATGCAAGTTCCTTTTTATTCTTGTCATTTAAGGATGAGTAATGTCATACTAGTTGCTAAATACAACAAAGGATCAATTCCTTGTGCTTTACTTGCTCAACTGGTAGTGAATAGCACTTAATGAGTACAGTTCCACACCTTCAGAGGCATTATTTCTCTGCATTATTTTGAGATCCTCTGTCATCGGGTTTAAGTGACATACAGGCTGATTAAATGAAACGCTAAGAAAGGCAGTCTGTTGGCATGGTGATAAAAGAATAGACTATCCTGATTTTATTTATCTAGCTAAATTTGTAAAACAATGGAATATGTATGGTTTGGGAGCTACATCTGCCTGCTGGTGACCATTTCATAGCAAGAAAATATACAACTTTGTGTGGGACAGCTGGGGGAAGCAGGGCCATGAGAACTTAGGTGGACAATGCATTACTTAGGACATGGGGGCTCAAGCATGTCTGATACAGTAATAAATTTCACCTGAATTTTGTTTTTTGTTGTGGTACTGGGAGTGAAACACAGGGATTCACATATGCTAGGCAGGTGCTCCACCATTGAGCTATACCCTTGTATAAGGACTTTAGTCAGAAAGACATGTTTAATTCATCATGATCATCTGCTCAAGCATCACCATCCTCCAGCTTCTATGATGTTTCAAGCTTCTAATGTGGGGGACTTTGTCTTCATGACAAAATTTCTTAGATTAGCATAAAACCATCAAATATTTAAAATATTTGATGTCTATTTTCAATACATAATACCTGCCTGGTATTATCCTTTTTCAATTTGTAAGATAAGACACAATTAACAAAGTTGGCATGAGAGTGTCAATATCTTTTTTGGATATGGATGCTTTTTGAATTACAGAATTACAATTATGTGATTTCCCTTGAATGGAAACTACAATAGATTTAAATGTTATAAGAAGAACTCAATAATCTCATAAATTAGTCAACCTCCTGGTAAAAAATTGTTGGATGTTTTTAAAAAGGAAAACAGTTGCAATGGATGTGTATCATCATATTTAATGGGGATTTCAGTGCAATATCTGAAGATGCTTCCACCAACCCAGACAAAGATAAAACTATTTTGAGAGAAGGAGGATAATTTTGGCTACTGTAACAAGATACAGGGTATGGCTAGCAATGGGTCTTTGTTGCTTATCCTGTAGTTCACTAATATTTCTAGGACATGTCCTTATCTTTAATGTGCACATTAAAAAGAAGGTTGTTTTCTTTTCCAACAATTTCTGATGCTATGATCAGCAGTCCTAGGGAGGTGTCTGAATTAACTTGTATAGGTCTCTTGCAGATTTGGGTACACAGAATATGGGAACTTACTGTAGTTCATCAGAGTTCCCAGTTATGGCAAAAGAAAAAGAAGAATTCAAAGGTTGGATAACCTGCTGACCAAACTCTGGTACCTAATCTGGCCTTTATGAACAGAGCTGAGTAGAGAAAACTAAATTGTGAAAAGAAAGAGATATTTATGACAGGATTATCTCTCTGAGGGATTCCTTCCAAATACTCATAGCAAAGTGAGCTTATTACTTTTTAATTTTATTTGTTTATTGATTGATTGATTGATTGCTGCTGCTGCTTGGTCCAAGATAGGCAACTGGACAGACAATAGAAGTGAGGGAGAATGTTATTATACCAGTAAGCAGGTAGAGAGAGCTGCAGTGATTAGTAAACAGAGCTGAGACTTCTGTTGATAAAATGATTTATTTTTACCTTAGAATAAAAAGCACCACACACAGGTGAGAGTATCCATGACTATGGCCTCTCACCTGTCTCCATAATCCATCACACACAGTACTTTAAGCAAGTGCCACCTCCCATTGCCATCTCAGTGTGATGAGTGAGCTCAACAGTTGGTGGAATCATGTTTGCTTTGGAACCTTTATGCCCATGTTTGCTTTTAGGTTCAATGCTTGTTAAATTAAGAGTTAAATCAAGAAGGGAATTTGGGTGGGAGAGATCATCAGCCAGGACACAGAGATGTTTGACAAGACACACACCAACTCACTGTACCAGGAAGCCTCTATTTCCTGTTCAGGGGCAGCAACAGCTTGGAGCCCAGTGGTTCCTCCCTCACCCTGACAGGCTCCCCTTCCAGTGCAGAGCCCTGGAGTCAAAGAAGAATTTCTTCTAAAGGAAGAAGGCAAACATGGTGCTGCCCAGGCTGCTGAAGCTGCTCATGGTATCAATGTGGCTGGGTAAGGATGATGCCTGGGTATAGGGGCCTCCTCTGTGACCTAGGGACTGGGGAACAGGGTAGCCTTAAAGGGACTTTGGGAGGGAGGGTTAGCAGTGTGTAAATTTGCCCTTTTATTTTTTCTATCCCACACCAATTTTCCCTCAACTTTCTGATTCTGTCCTTTTTTCCTCAGGATCCAGTTTTGCCCAGAAGGTGACTCAGGCCCAGCCAGCCATTTGGGTGCAGGAGAAGGAGGCTGTGACCCTGCACTGCTCCTATGACACTAGTAAAACAAATTATGGTCTCCTCTGGTACAAGCAGCCCAGCAGTGGAGAGATGGTCTTCCTCATCCTTCAGAACTCTTACAGCCAGCAAAATGGCACAGAAGGTCGCTACTCAGTGAATTTGCAGAAGGCAAGCAAATCCATCCAACTTGTCATCTCAGCCTCACAGCTGGGGGACTCAGCAGTGTATTTCTGTGCACTGACAGAAGACACAGTGAGAGAACAGTTAGAGGGAGGTGCACAAAAACCCAGGGTCTGGTGAAACAGCCACCTGCTGTAGGGAATGGCCAACTCAAACAGGAAGTGGCCAGGTCTGTGGCAGCTCATGTCTGGGGTTGGAGAGAAAACCTCCAATCAAATCAAAGGTTGGATAACCGGCTGATAAAATTCTGGTACCTAAGGAAACCCTCTCTAAGTTCACAGACCACATCAGAGTTATCAAAGCCAGCATAATTGCCAAATCTTTCTATTGAAGGTAGACACATAATTTTTGACAGAAGATTGGAAAGGGAGAGCAGCTACAACAAACAATGTTTGTTTGAAGAAATGGCTAAGGAAGTTCAGAATCATGTGGCAGAAAAATATTAGTAAAAATCTGTATGAATTGTAATATATTCAGATCAATTTGTCCAATAATATTTATTGAATGAATAATATCTTACTTTTTAAATAAAGAAGTTCTTGGAATCTCTCTGTATATTTCCTTTTTTAAATCATATACCTTTTAAATACTATTTAATGTGTTAGTTTGGTTTAAGTTTATTTGTTGAGAGTAAATAATGGTACTCACATTTATTTAATATCTTTTTCCTTCCTTCCTTCCTTCCTTCCTTCCTTCCTTCCTTCCTTCCTTCCTTTCTTTCTTTCTTCCTTTCTTTCTTTCTTTCTTTTTCTTTTTTTTTGTGTGTGGTGTTGAGTGTAGATCCCAGGGCCTCACACATGTCAGACAAGGGCTCTATCACTGAGCCCCAATCCCAGTCCCTCATATTTACTTTCTAGAAGCTCCTACTATGTAACATACTTAGTCCTCAGAGTTTGTTCTGTCTAAACACCTCTAACATCAAGAGCTTAACTTCTATTCTGAAGGTTTCCCTGCCACTGTCATATCCATAGGCGATGGAAAATTACTGGCTTTTTTATGAGGAAATGTGGAGGATCTCACCCACAGAGACGTAAGCTTATTTGTTTGTACATAAATAGGCACAATTTTTCCTAATCACCATCTTTTTAATATATTGAGTTTTTCCTTTCTCTATATTGTTTCCACATTACTTATTTAGTTCCCTTTATCTATTTGTTTTATTCTGTGGTGACCTCAGAAATTAGTTTCATAGTAAATTGCATTACCTGTTAGAATAAATCATTCCTCAGTAGTACCCTTTTGAGAAGTTTTTGATAATACTTGCACAATTATTTTTCCAATACAAATGTTAAAAGTTGTGTTCCATTTTCCACACATTCAACAACCTCGTTCAAAACAAAGGAAAACAAACAAACAAAATGCTTTAAAACCAGAAAGTTATAATTACATTAATAGAATATGTCTTGTGAAATATCGACTTATTATTTCTTAATTTGAAAAAAGTTATTTTCTCAATTCAATATATAATTCAAATATAATTCAATAACAAAATTTTGTGTTATTCAATTATATTTGAAGGTTCTCATCTTTATCATAAATTAGATTTATTTAATGTATTCTTCATATTCTTCCCTGTGTGTACACATTTTCAATTGAATTTTATTTTGTGTATTCATTTTTGTTGGTATTCCAAATATAAAGACAGACTATTTTGAAAAAAATCACATTGGTTATATAGCTAAGAATTTTTACCTTTAAATGTTGCAGTGTATTTATACTACCTAGACATTTAAATTCTATTTTATGGAGCTAGCCTAACCTTAATCCAACATCTTATAAAGAGAGAAAAATAAAAACATTCACTCTTTGGGCTGGGGATGTGACTCAAGGGTAGCGCGCTCGCCTGGCACGCACGGGGCTCTGGGTTCAATCCTCAGCACCACATAAAAATAAAGATGTTGTGTCCACTGAAAACTAAAAAAAAAATCAATATTAAAAAGTTCTCTCTCTCTCTCTCTCTTAAAAAAATTCACTCTTGAATACAGACACAGATTTTTTAGGAAATTATAAATAAGAATAACAAAATAGTGAAGCTTCATTTTTGTAAAAGGTATTTAATTATATATTTATTTATTCAAAATAGTGACCAGTGAGTACCTCTGTGTAACCAGCTTTGAGCAGACACTTATTCCATCTATGGCCTTGTTACCACATCTGAGATGAAAGAACCTAATTTCTACATTACTGGTAAACCTGACGTGTACCAATCTTGTATCAATCTTACCCACAAAATGGTCAGTCATTGCTAACTCTTGGAGAGATAGTGTGAAGGGACAAGAGAATGAGTTCTCCCTTTTCTCTGCTCTTGTCCTTCCCTTCATCTTTCCTCCAAAAACATTTAATCCATCATGTGGAACATTTTGCACTCCTCCAGTCCTGCTATGCTCAATCAATATTTCATAGGTCAAATCTTCATTTTCTATGATTTCCTCCTTCTACCTCTAACCCCATTTTCTCATGCTGTAAAATTAGTTGGTAGTGATTGTTCAATATGTAAACTTGCCTTGTAATTTACTCTCATATTTGCATTTGGAAAGCAGAGGTGTGGTAGAAAACTTAAAAGGAAATATCTTTTATAATTTTAAAAAAATATCTTAAATTATGGTAGAAAACACATAACATGAATTTGACCACTTTATACTGACATAAAAAGACATGTGGACCATGAAATAAAAGAAAAGACACAGAAAACCACATAATTACAGTAATCTGATATTTGATAAAGGTGCCAAAATGATATGTTGGAGAAAGCCCAGCCTCTTTACTAAATTGTTCTGGAATAACTGGATATCCATATATTAAAGAATAAAATCATATCCCTATCTCTCACCTGCACAAAATTCAATTCAAAATGGACCAAAAATTTAGGTATAAGACCAGAAAGTTTTGCAATTAATACAAGAAAACACAGGTGAAACACTATACTATATTGGCACAAATAACGATGTCCTGAATAGGGTTCCTATAGCTTAGGAAATGATAGCAAGAATTAGTAAATTGGATAACATGAATTCAAAAAGTTTTGGCACAGAAAAAAAAAACAATTAGCAGTGTGAAGAGGCAGCCTGCAAAATGAGAGAAAAAAAAATCTTTGCCAGCTACTCTACCAACAGAGAATTTATGTTCAGAATTTATTTTTAAAAAATTCAAAAAACTCAACCCTAAATGAACAAGTAACCCATTCAACAAATGGGCAAATGAACTAAACAGACCCTTTTCAAAAGAAAAAGTACACTTGGTGTACAGTTACTTGAAAAAGTGTTCCATGTATATAGCCACCAGGGAAATGAAAATCAAAACTACACTGATAAACTCTCTCACTCCAAAAAGAATGGCAATCACAAAATATACAAATATCAATGAATGCTGGTGAGGATGTGGGGGAAAAGGAAGGCTTATACACTGTTAGCAGAAATGGAAATTGGTACAGTATGGAGATTCCTCAAAACTCCTGAAAACAGAACTACTCTATTATGCTGCAATGCCACTCTTTGGTACTTATCCAAAAGAATTACAATCAGAATATTTAGAGATCCATGCATTCCTATGTTTATTGCAGCATATTTCATAAAATCAAAGTCATGGAACCACCTTAGGTATCCATCAATAGATGAACGGATAAATTAAAAACTGGCATATATACACAATGGAGTTATATTCTACCATAAAGAAAAATAAAATTATATCATTTGAAGGAAAATGGATGGTACTGGAGAGAATCATGTAAGTAAAGTAAGCCAAACTCAAAAAATCAAGGACTTTATGTTTTCTTTTGTTATGTGGAACCTAGTGGGAAAAGAGGGAAAAATAAAAAGGACTCCATGAAAATAGAAGTGAGGCCAATAGGGTAGTGAAGGAGATATGGGGAAGGAAGAGAGCAGAGTAAGGGGAGGTACTGGGGAGTGAAATTAATCAAATTGTGTTATATGCACATATCAATATGCCACAGTGAAACTCACCATTCTGCATAATTAGTACACACCAACTTAAAAAAAATTACCACATTAATGATTTTGAGTGTACTGTTCAGTTAAGTATATTCACATTGTTTTGAAGCTGATATCTCTAGAACTGTTTTAATTCTGTGAAACTGAACTCTGGGGCTATACTATTTTTGATAACATTTCAACATCATCCCAACTTATTTTGCTGCCTCCCCATATATCAAAATTAAAATATGCAACTAATTTTCCAGAATGTCTTTCTAGAATGGTTCTGAGTCAGTGTCTGACACTGGGATCTGGAAGGCAGAGGAAGGGGAGAAGAGACATGAACCACTCAAATATCTGGGTCTGAATTACTTACTTAACTATGTATCTGAAAAGGTATTATCCTGCAAAATTCCAGGTTGACTCTGAACTCAGGAGATTCTTTTCCTAAATCTGTGGAGAGAGATATTATCTTTTCAATAAGAGCCACAGAATGGGCTAAACCTCCATACTTGTGAAAAGCCCTTGAGGCCAGACTTGCATGGAGTGCAGCTTTAGCACCTGCCTGACTTGCACAGCTGGGCTCCTTGTCTTGGAGCCAGTGAAACAGTGGGGAATAAGACATTGATCTTGGATCATTCTGCATGGACCCAATTACTTTAATTATCATGATCTCCTGTCATACTTCTTGCTTTTCAATGATCTGAAATTCTTTAATATTTGAGTATTGTTTAAATAGTGTGCCCCCCTTCCAACTCCAAAAAGCTCTTATTGAAAAGATAATATCTCTAAAAACCGATATAATTTTAAGATAGAGAGACTATGGTATTTGCAGTATAGTAACCCCTCAACCAAAACTCACCTATTCATTATTTTTATTTCACTTACTATGTTTTAATTGTGCACCTAGGAAATGCCAGTCACCTGTGGGTACAGTGCTGAAAGACACACAATGATTTGAATTCTTACTACTTCCTATGTTTCAAACCCTAAACACATGTATGACATTTTAGTTAATTGTAGGTAGACCCACAAAGATGCAATGAATATAAAGGCCTACATTAAAATGTCCAAGATAACTGCTATCTTATCAGTTACAGAGACATTCTAGGATATTCAACTAAAACATTTACATGTCAGGTAGAGTTGTAAGAACAAAAAAAGACCTTATAAATTATGATGTCTCCTAGA